TTAAAATACTTAATTATTTAGTTAATAAATTGAAAAATGATACCAGATTAAAATTTTATAATACTTATTTGTCTAATTCACTCTTTCATTATATTTCATGTTTCATTTCATAATATACGTAAAAAAAATAAATACTATGGTTATATTTTGTCCACAACTCCACATGCAGTATATAAAAGATTTCATTTTTATTTGTTTAAAAATATAGTGTTGAATTATACATAATAGTTAAATTACCGTGCATGATATGAGATCTAATCTAGTTCAAGCAATTTGGAAGCCCTTTCCTCTAATCTATTATCTTCTTCCATTAGGCATCAAAGCAAAAATTGATACAATGCAAAATGCAATGAAATTTTTTCTAACGTCAGCAAAAAGACAAGAATGGCACTCCTCTAATTGCTTAGAATAAAATTTGTAAATCAAAAAATTTGGGCAGTGTAAGGCTAATATAAGGAGAACTTTCTTAACTTCTTAAACGTCTTAACCAAGCTTTTGTTGCAAAACTTGGGTGGAAGACCCCCTTTGATCCAAATAGTTTGTAGGTTAAACTTAAGTAATTTGAGAAAGATACCTTTTTTTTTTTTTAAAAAAAAAAACAACTCGAGAAAGATACCAGCTATATATATGTAACTCTTGTTCAATTGAATATAATCCTTAATTCAACAACTCTCATTTATATAAAGGAAAATTAGTTACGAAAAAGATATCTTCTTTTGGATAGAAATCGCTCGGACAACCCACACAAGCCTCATAGAGCTTCTACATTTCTACTCCAAATAAAATGTGTGTTGTTATATGTTAAGCCTCATAGAGCTCCTACATTTCTATTCCAAATAAAATGTTGTTGTTATGTTACTAATATTGGTGAGGGGAATGGGGATAGTGGACTAAAGGAGAACTTCGTGTAGGTGGTAGGTGTTAGTAAGTGAAATAGTGGGATCAATTATATAATAAAACAAATAACAAATATAAGAACAAAAAAGGTTATATATAGAGATGCTAAAAAAAAAAATCAGTTTCAAACAATTGAAGCAATAGTTGTATTCTTTTTGTTTTAGTAAAAAAAAAAAAAATAATAATAATAATAAAAAAAAATGATGGTGCAATGAGCATTTGTACGTCGATATATGTGATTTAAGGCAAGAGTTAACAAGTTCAATAATTATATTGCTCTAAGTTGAAAATTAAAGAACAAAGCATAAATCTATAATGAACTCTTTGAAGATGATCATTTAACTAAATTATTTCAACATCACAACCTTGTTAGCGAAAGCTTACATGAGCAACATAACCATCACATCATATTATATTGCAAATTATCTTATCTAAACAATTCCAAACTACATAAATTTAATTCAAATTAGTGATTTGGACAGGACATTTCTTAATTTTCTAACAGAAAACTAATGGGGTAGCATATGGTGTATCTCAAATTTATAATTGCCAAAATTGTGGCCTAATTTTTGTAAGAAAACTTGATAGGTGAATTTTTTGAATTGGATCTAATCACGTTGCAACATATTTGATTGAAGTCATTTGATAATAATGTTTGAATTGAATTATTCATATGATTCATTTAAATCCAATCAATATTTTTACAACTTTACCTCATGCTTCCTATATGAACACAATAAATGACACTATTGTTTTATGCGGCATATGATATTCATGGGTTACCCTAGCGCCTTTCATAAGAATTAAGACCCACATTCAACATTTTACTAAAATTCGTTACTAATACCATGTTATCACATCCACGTAGTTGGTGAGGGTCGAGCCTGAAACAAGCCCGGCCAGGGAGATGAGAATAGCTACCATGAGGCTGCCTTCTCATAATCACTATGAACAACAAATTAACAATATATACGTACGTTCATCACCACTAACTATATGATAGGAGTAAGTAATAATGAAAGTCGTTATTTCATGTCCAAAGTCCACCTAATAACAACATAAAAAATTACTTGAAGATAAACCACTCCATCATATGATTAGATTCTTCTTCATCTTTTATTGCCATTTGCCAAGTCCACAACAAAATTTAGAGCTTAATTTAAGATTATGGATAAGTGTTACAGCTTTTTTAAGATTAAATTAAACAACATTCTTTGTTAGAGACATGGATATTCCAACGGACCAACATTAGAAATATACACCAAAGTTCTAAAGGTCATAATATTCTACTATTGTTATGTCTTTTGAGATTAGGTAAGCAAAGCTAGTTTAAGGGAGAAAATACAAGAGTATGCGCCTCATAATGCTCTATAATCAAAATTAAGGGCGGTAGGCCGGCGACTAATTAAAGAGTGCCAGGTCATTACGTGGGGTCGTTGGACGGTGCCACATGGATCAAGGGCATATATAAACAGTAGAATTATTTCATCTATTCATCACAATATACATCTTAGAGCTAATTAACCAAGTAATTAATCCCTTCAAATTAATTAGAGAGTTTTTTAATTTTTGTGGAAAAATGGTGAAGTTGGCATTTGGTAGCTTTGGTGACTCTTTTAGTGTTGCTTCAATCAGGGCTTATTTAGCTGAATTTATTGCCACCCTACTCTTTGTTTTTGCTGGTGTAGGATCTGCAATTGCATTCAGTAAGTCTACTACTTAAACCTTTTTCTTAGACTATTCTTTCACTAATAAATTTTTACTATGTTTAGGTTTAAAAGCCTTCTACTTCGTATGAAGTATTTTTATTTACAAGAACTTGCTCTCTTCACCTTATTTTTACTGATTAAAACATTTTTTTTTTGAAACTTATTTAAAGAATTAAAGGTTAAAATTTTAAAACTTGCGAATAGTTAAATTGTAAAAATTCACGACAAAATCATGTATCATAACGTAGCCATAATTCTTCGGAGTCAGTAATAATCTAAGACTGAATCTTATGTTTATGATTAATATGCAGGCAAGGTGACAGAAGGAGGAGCATTAGACCCAGCAGGGTTAGTAGCAGTAGCAGTGGCTCATGCATTTGCCCTATTTGTTGGTGTTGCCATGGCAGCCAATGTTTCAGGTGGACATTTGAATCCAGCTGTCACCTTTGGATTGGCTATTGGTGGACACATCACCCTTCTTACTGGCTTCTTTTACTGGGTTGCCCAAGTCCTTGGCTCTATTGTTGCTTGCCTTCTCCTCCAATTCACCACCAATGGCATGGTCAGCTTCTTTTCTCTCTCGATCCTTTTACTAGCTAGCTAGGGTCTAGGGAGTTATACGACTTTGTTTTCTTCATCTTATTCAAGTGTTTTGATTTGAATTTTTGACTTATTACTTTTTACTTTTATAGTTTAGACCGATATAGTCTGATTTGATTTAGACAAGGATAAATAATAGTATGGATAAGAAAATAACAAAGCCATAGATAAAGAATTTTAAACTTGTAGTAAAATAAGATTGGTAGATCTAGTTTTATTGCTCCACCTTATTAAAAGGCTACAATAAAGTTTTATGGTCACTTATTGTACACGGAGAATTTACATTGAGAGTCGTGCATATGTTGTTAGAGTACTTAACTTTTTAACCAATCGATATATTACATTTTTTTTTGAACAAAAATCGATATATTGCATCATTGTTGATATAAATACAAAATCTATAGGCTAAAGCCTACAACATTAGTTTCTTAAACCCTCTATTGATTTTTGGCGGGTTGAGATGAGATATTTTATTTATTTCGGAGTATGTAATCACTATAAATCATGAAAAATTAATATTATTTTAGATGGAGTACTGTATTACTATGTAATATAATAATGATAAAAAATACGGAGTATTGTCAAATGTCGTATACTTAATAGTACAAAAGTCAAAGTATTACGATTTTCATGAAACAAAAGGAGTAACGAACTTCGATATTGTGGTCTTAATTTTGAAAACAGAGCATTCCAGCCCATGGAGTAGCCTCAGGAATGAACGCAATTGAAGGCATTGTGATGGAAATTGTGATCACCTTTGCGCTTGTTTACACCGTCTACGCAACAGCTGCTGACCCAAAGAAGGGCCAAATCGGAATAATTGCCCCAATTGCAATTGGATTCATTGTTGGGGCCAACATCCTTGCTGCAGGCCCATTCAGTGGTGGATCAATGAACCCAGCCCGATCATTCGGCCCAGCTATTGTTAGTGGTGACCTTTCTCAAAGCTGGATCTATTGGGTCGGCCCACTTATTGGAGGTGGGCTTGCTGGGCTTGTATATGGTGACATCTTTATTGAGTCATATACCCCTGTTCCAGCCTCTGAAAGTTATGCTTAAGTTATTATTATCCTTTTCTTTTGTTTTCTCTTTTTAGTGGAAAATGCCTAAAAATTTGGCCTTTTTTTTTTTTTTTTTGTTTTTGTTTTTTTGGGTACACATGGAAATGCCCTAAGTTATGCTTATTGGGTGAATTGTAATGCACTTGTCTTTTTATTGTGTGAACTTGCTAATTTGCTAGTAAAAGCAATGTATATGATAAAAATTTCTTAATCGGTTATTTTATCCGCCCTTGTTTCCTTCTTTCCTGATATCATTGAACATTCTCCTCTACTTTAAGTTGGAGCAATTAAGATTAGTCATTTGTTTTTAATAATTTTGAATGTTTTGATGGTTGTATACATTGCTATATTGAAAAACTATTAGTATTACGTCGCCTTAAGGTCTTCCATGGACCCACTGTTTCATCTCGATCTTTTCGGTTATGAAGTTAGCATCTTTGCTTGGCAAGCTATCATTATGTTCGAGTCACATATAAGCTGGACTAATGTTAGGTATTTCACTAGGATCCTCTTCGATGACACATTATGGTTTTGACTAACAAAACTCTAAAACACGTTATAGGTGTTTTTTCCTTGAAAAGCACAGATTCAATCACAATGATATTAGCATTTTATAGTGTCGATATATGTGTTTGCTATGTAGACCATTTTGGTCTTTGTAGTGTGTATCTACTTCTGTCATATTTCTCAATGATATTTGTATTTATAGTTGGTTATTTATTTATATCGGGTGCTAGATTATGTTAACATATCAGCTTTGGTGAACCATTATTTTAAAAATTTCGATGCGACACACATATAGCTAGTGGGCTGAACTTTAAACCTGATTTAAGTAGACATACGAAATTTCGATACGACACAATACATAGCTGGTGTGGCTAAACCCGATGATGTCCCACACTCCCACTCGACTTGAGTGAAGTGTCAAGTCAACTCGACAGTATTGTGATGGTTTTCACTTCCTAAGTTCCTAGCTCATACAAAATCAAACAATCGAAGCCAAAATAATACCTCTAAAATTGTAGTGTTGCAGACGACGGATTAATGCCGACAACAGAGAGCTATCCGGAAGAGTTGAAATGTCTGCGCTTCTTTTGCTACCTTTCTTCCTTTGTATGTCCTCAATTACTTTATATCATGCCATTTTTTTTCTTTTTTTTTTTTTTTAATTTTTTTTAATTTTTTATTTGCAGCAATTTTCTTATACCATGTTAATTCCTATTCTTATTCTACATCACTAGAAGATGCTTAAATTGTACTATTATTGTCATTTATTGATCAAGAATTATTCTAGTATATTGCACTATAAGTTTATTATGAATTCTAATTAGTTATTAACCCCAGTAATCCCTAAACCTAAATTGTTCTTTCTAAATTTAGGAAGGGTAAGAAAAGATAATTGGAGAAGAGAGAGAGTTTGTAATAGGTTATATTTTCAAGTTTTGATTTTTTTCTTCCTGCCCTCCATTTCACAATTGCAAATTATGGTGATTGGAAAATTGGGTACATGAAAGTGTTGGATAATACAGTCTAATTTATAGTTTTGGTTGATTCAAATTCACATTTGGTGTTCGTTGGACATGAGTAAGATTGCCTCATATGTGTGGATATCAGGATATGCATTTGTTGGATGTCAGGCGAGCAACCGAGTAGCCAAACACAAGTCGAGTGAGGTTCCATCCTAAAACCGTGTAGCAAATTAGCAATACTGCAATAGTCATTACAAAGAGTAACTAAATCACCTTTCGTGGTTGTCACAATCTTTCAATGATGACATGATTGTAGCATTTTTGGGGTTTTTTTTGTAATTTGAAAAATAATGGAGAGTTTTGCCCCCCTTAGTAATTTTCTTGGGTCTAATGCTTTTTTAGGAGAATTGCATAGAGCCATAGACTTGTTTCAAGGGGCTGAGCTTGAACTTACAAGTTAAAATAGTTTTTGGTGTATATAGAACCACAAAGGGTATTGATGTAAATGTATATCCTTGGTAGTTGGTACCATACGCGAGACTTCACCAACTAAGCTAGCTAGCTATGACAATGGCATCATTATTTGCAATATACTTGCTGATTTAGTCTCTTTACCCAAAATACATTTGAATGATTGGCACTTATCATGTCAATCATGTGAGATTCCCTTGCCTACAGATTAAAATGTAGCTTCATAGAAGAGCGTAGCTACTGTTGATTATCTTCTTTCCAAAATCTTTGGCTGGATTTTATGATTTCCGCAGTCCAATTGGCCCTAGAGCTTTTTGTGAAGTTTTATCCGGAAGGTGATTTGCAAGTGATTGGATGTCACTTTATTTTAGGATCTTTTAAGCATGCATAATACCCTTGTAAGTGTTTAACTAATTGCTTCCTCGTTCTTGGGATGCTCCGAGAAATGCAGTTTGCTTATCTCTCTTTCCAGTTTCTACAAACATCCACAGTTTCCATCTTCATTGGGCACAAGGAAATAAACTCATCTATTTTTGCTCGGGCATATTGATTTTGTATTTGCCTACTGTCCTTTGTTTTCCTATCTGTCGAGTATTCCTAGTATACACATAGCTACGCAGTTATCTTCTTGAAAATTTAGAAACAAGCTCTTTTAAGTTTAAATTTCTTGCCTATTGGGCATTCTTCTAGTATAGATCATTAAACTACCATTTTTTTCATTGAGCTTTTTGGAAGATGCTTTTGCCTTCCCTTGTCATTATTGTTGTCTCCCAGCTGACCACTCCTCATAGTATTGGCAAGAAGGAAATTTCATTTTGCATCAGCTAGTTACTATCTGCTTCTTTTTTCTGATTTATCTAGTACCTACTACTGAGATTATGGAGCAATGTGAAGTCTTCCTAAATAGGCAGCCAACTGACTATATCTCTCTCAGTTGGATTTTGGTGTGGGACCCCTACTTCAAAACTGCAGCGTTGTCCTTGAATAGGCCAGGCAATGTTCTACTCTTCTGCTTGGGCTTGGGCTTGGGAGTTGGGACTGCCCTTACCCGTGCAGCCGTGCTCGCACTCTTAGTATAGTTGCCTTTGTACCGTTGGCTCAAATTTTGGTGGCAAGGTGAGATTAACTAAATATTAGTTTATGGGAAGATGATTGACTATTTCATGAAGAAGTGGTAGGTTTGGAGAAATTTTCTTAGTAATTAACAGAGGACATTGTCATAGTATGTTATTAAGCAGTGACTTCAAGCGTTTATCAAAGCAATCCAACTACCCAAGTTAAGAAATAAAAAATTGGTCTTGGCTGATGTATTGAGAATAAACTGAAAGCATATTACTCTCCTTGAGATATAAAATTGATTAGTAGAATTTGACTTCTTCCTGTTCCAAATTGTCCTCATCTTAAGTAGAAGGGCCAAGACTTTAGTGGTTTAATATTGAAGGTGGTTTGGGAATTCTTTGTATGAAAGTAAATAAATTCCACACATTTCAAATTCCCTGCAAGATGGAGGAGCCAATTACTGATCCTGAGTTTGAACCAACATCAGCTGAAAAAGTTGCAGGAAATGAGGATCTAGCAACAGAAATTTTCATTCATTTATCTGCAACTTCTATTGCTCCATGTCTACGAGTATCGAAGTGGTGGCTATCATTCATCTCAAATCACACGTTTATTTCAAGGCATAACCTTCTTTATCCCCCCTCCTTGTCTGGCCTGTTCTTGATCCCTGGACAAACTGCTCAACATCCTGAGGTTCATTTTCTTTCTCTCAACCATAGTAAATTTCATAGTCTTCCATTTGTTGCTTTTTTTAATTCCAAAGGTTTCCAAATCCTACATTCTTGCAATGGACTATTGCTCTGTCGATTAGGGCTGTCACATTATGTGTGCAACCCCTCAACTTGTCAATTAAGAGTCCTTCCCAGCTGTTCATACATGGATAAAGATTACACACTTCACTTGGCTTTTGATCCTCTCACTTCACCAAATTACAAGATTGTTTGTGTGAAAAAGGTAGGTAGTCAGCCATCTCATTACCTAATTGCAATCTTTTCCTCCAAAACTCGTCTATGGAGTCTCTCTCAAGAGCCTGTTTATGCACCTAACGAGTTAGAATTTAAGGATGGTGTCTTTTGCAATGGCGCACTTCATTGGCTAACAAGCAAATCTAGTGGAGCATATCTTGACTTAAAGACAGAGATAATTAGAGAAATGCCATTGCCTCCCAGGCGAGAAGAGGAGTCAGAATACAAATTCAAGTATTTTGGAAAGTCCCAAGGATACTTGCTTTATGTTATCTCACGCCCTCTTTTTAACCATTATGAGTTATACCAGATGAAGGAAGATTATTCTGGATGGGATTTGAAGTTTCGGGTTAGTCTCAATGTGTTAATTGCTAAATTTCCAGTTATGGCTAGGAACTTTGGGCGTCATCCTTATTTGTTCTCAGAGTTGGAATGTGACGTGTTGTGCATTTATCATGCTAGGGCCGATGGAGACATGGAAATTGTGTTGTCAGTGCCAGGTGAAGTCATATTTTTCAATCTTGAGAAGAATTTTTTTTTCAGTAGTTCAAGATAAAGTATTCCGTCCCTCTGATGTAACCATATGGTATAAAACCTATTTAGTCTATGAATATTTTGAGACATTGTCAGTTGTTTGATGCAGACTATCAATAAACTCTTGTATACCTTTTTTGTGAAATCAGGTGTTTAGATTTATATCGTGCAAAAATATTGTAAGTAGAGGATGCCATTAGCTAGCTTAGTCTGTGGAAAAACCTCATGAGTCAAGAGTCATGACTCATGAGGGTCTAGATAGATGCTTCCTTGGTGTCCTAGGGAAGCTCTGAAAATTTGTGCTGTATCCTTTTATAATTTCTGCTACTACAGTTGCTATCTTCATTGAGAATAAGGAGAATAAAGTCATACTTCGTGTGTATCTTTTTTGTAGGAATAATGGTTGTCTTATGTTTTTCTGCTTGTTAAATATTCCATAGATATGCCGCTTCGCATCATTATTCTTAAGTAGGAAGTATACCTGTAGATTATAGTTTATACTATTGCAGAAGTATTTTCTTTTCTGTTACACAATCTCCAGGTTCATTGTGGGTCCTTTAAAGTCATCTTGACCTTCTCAGACCGATACGTATTCTTGTACATATCATCCAGCTATATTTCGTAAAAATTTCTTTTTGAAAATGCTATTACCTTGCCTTGGCCTTACTGTTGTCTTGTAACCTAAAAACTACACATGGTGTGGCAAGTAAGGTGTAATATGAAATATTCCTTGATGGGCCGCCCATTAAGTACTTCTGAGTTGGAGGTTTGTGTAGGATCCTTATTTCAAACCATAGTGTTGTTCCTGGAAAAGGTAAGACAGTGTACTATTGCTATTTTGTTAGTCTTGATCCTTATTGATGTTGACAAACCCCCAAAAGAGGAAACAAACCTCTAGCTTATTGCTATTTTCTTAGTCTTGACTCTTCACTGCATCAAGTTAGGGTTTGGGATTGTATGGCGCTCACACATTTAGTGGTTAGTAGAGTTAATATTGTACTGTTGGCTGCAAATTTCTGTTACAAAGATCAGATATACTAATTGAGTTTTTGAAAGGAAAACTATGATTGATTTAATGTTGATATTCTATTTTGGGAGCAAACTTTTATGTGATAAAATCTGTTCAGCCTATACAATTTTCAATTTTAAGACTTTCTCTTTTGTTTGACATGATCATTGTTGGCCATTATCTTTGCTAGTTTTGAATTTCTTGACAGATTTATGAAAAAGAAAGATCTTTTGACATTTCATGAACAAGTGGAAGGTTTAGAGGTAATTGTTAATAAAGATAGCAAAGCAACCTAATTTTCAAGCTCCTTTGGTTTTTCTGAACTTTTTTATAATTTCTTTGGTTCTCTCCACGCCTCCTCAATAGAATAAAGATAAAGAGATTGATATTGACGAAGTTATTAATTTTTTTTTTTTTGTTATTATTTATTTTATATTATTATTATAATTTTTAAAATGAAAGCTTACTACTATCCTTGAGATATGAAAATGATTTTGGCTTGTAGAATTTGGCTTTTTCATCCTATTATTCCAAAGTGTCCTCATCTTAAGTAGAAAAACAGTAGTTTATTGAATCTGATGGAGGTGCTTTGGGATTTGTCTGTATGAAAGTTGATAAAATCCACAGGTTCCAAATATTTTGAATGATGGAGGAGCCAATTACTGACCCTCAGTCTGAACCAACATCAGCTGAAGAGGTTGCAGAAAATGAGGACTTAGCAACCGAGATTTTTAATCATCTGTCTGCAACTTCTCTTGCTCCATGTCTACGGGTATCAAAATTGTGGCTCTCAATCATCTCAAATCAAAAATTTATCTCAAGGCACAACCTTCTTTATCCTCCCTCTTTGTCTGGGCTGTATTTGGTCCCTAGACAAACTGCTCAACATCCTGAAATTCATTTTCTTTCATTCAAGAAGAATACATTTGAGGTAACTCCATTTGTTGCCTTTCTTAATTCCAAAGGTTTCCAAATCCTACAGTCTTGCAATGGACTATTGCTTTGTCAATTTGGGCTGTCACGTTATGTGTGCAATCCCTCATTATTTAGATTAAGAGTCCTTCCTCACTGTCCATACATGGAAAAAGATTACACACTTGACTTGGCTTTTGATCCCTTCAGTTCACCTGGTTACAAGGTTGTTTGTGTGCAAAAGCTAAGTAGTCCGCAGTTATTTCACCAAATTGCAATCTATTCATCTGAAACTCGCCTATGGAGTCTCTTTCAAGAGCCTGTTGTTGCACCTAACGAGTTAGACTTTAATGACGGTGTCTTTTGCAATGGTGCAATTCATTGGCTGAAGAGCAACTCTAGTGGAGCATATCTTGACTTGAAGACAGGAATACTAAAAGAAATGCCACAGCCTCCAAGGCATGAGGAGTCAGAATACAGATTTAAATACTTTGGGAAATCCCAAGGGTGCCTACTGTATGCTGTTTCGCGTGCTATGCTAAATGAATATGAGTTCTACCAGATGAAGGAGGACTATTCTGGATGGGACTTGAAGATTCAGGTTAACCCCACTGTGATGATTGCTAAAGTTCCAGCTATGGCTAGGAACTTTTTGCGACATCCTATGTTCACACTGCTTGAATGTGATGTGCTGTACGTTAATCTTGCAGGAAGGGATGAAGGTGTGGAAATAGTGTTTTCAGTTCCTGGTGATGTCGTTATTAGGAATCTTAAGATTAAAAATTACCTATTCATTCAAGATGAAATTTTTGGGGCCTGTGATGTAACCATATGGTACAAAATGTATTCAGTCTACGAACATTTTGAGACGCTATCTGTTATTTGATGCAGAGTATGTCAGTAAATCTGTGTTTCTCCTTTGTGAAGTCGGTTTTCCTGATATCTCTATATGATTTTATTTGCTATGTACTTATTTTGTTTATACTTGTATTTTTTTGTATCATTTTGTTTCTGGGATAGACCAATCTTAAGCTGAATTTATATTCATGATACTGTTTCTTGTAAATATTTAGCTTCTTTTATCGGTGTTGATGAAATAATGTATAATCATTGTTGGTCTTCTCTGGATATATCTCTATATGCTGGCAGTTGAATCTTGATGCAGTGTTCAACATTATCATAGAACATATATGAAGTGACAATTGCTACCCATCCAATTCCAGACAACTGACTTCTCTAACATCAAAGAACATATAAGAGCATGCCTATCTTTGGTGCCTTCTTTTCCCATTCGTTTTTCTGTGGCACCGTTTCATCCCATTCTTTGCTATCAAAGAATATTTGTTGTATATACTTCTTTCGTTATAAATCATCTCCCTTTTCCACATATATATCATCCATCTTTCTTCCCTGATTTCGTACAACTATATATCAGTTCTGAATTAAAGAGTTCTAACCCTGCATTTGGCTATCATACCAATTCTTCTACTGTAATTTTGATTATTAATTGATGCTCTTCACTACCCAACTAGATTAATGGATCATTTGATTCTTTTTTGTTACGACAGTAGAGAATGAAGAGCAATAAATATATGACCTCAATTAAGCAGCTTCCAGAAATTATATGAATGGAAAATACTGTTAAGGTTGGATAAATGGAGAGAAAAATATTGTAAGATTGTATAAATGGCATGCCTAAAACTGTCTACACCTTGCAGTGAAGGGAGGTGAGCAATTGTGCAGGTGCTGATCATCTACTGATTCCTTCATGTCCCGTGATGATAAATCAATAATGCTGCTTGACTCGCAAGCTGGAGTATCAAGAATCCTTTTTGCTGATGCGTATGCTCTCTTAACTGTGGAATATTGGAAAGGTAAAATCATGCTGTTGTATGATGTCTGAAACTTTAATACTGAATTTTAGTGTTTATTTTAAGCTGTGAAGTGATTCATCATTTGTTACACATTTCACTATTGAATCTAGCTGATCGACAAGCGAAGATATAAAGAGAGGTATGCACACTTAATTAATATCTTGGTTATGTTTCTGATCTGGATATTATTTGTTGTTTTCTTAAACAAATGAACAAACTTAAGCTTGACTCCTTCCAGGCATGACAGCTGCTTATTGCAGCAATCGCTCATCGATAGTCTTACATGCTATTGCAGTACATTTTTAATTTTTCTGATTTCACCTTTTATTGTTGTTTTATTTTGGCAGATGGACCGGTTAAACCTCTTTCGCAGTATATTTTTTTCTTTATAAACAGTTGACCTGGCATATTTGGAAGAGTTGCTCTTTCCTTGATGATATGTTTGTTGCCTAATTGTATGCTCTTTGGTTGCCTGGTCTTCATGCTGACGTACTTTTGATATTATTTTATTCTCTTATAAAAATTGGAAGCAGAAATGAAACAGACATGCTAAAAGAATAGAGGACTCCACGTAGTATATCTTCGACAAAATCGAATTTCTTACTAGGATATGATAGTGTATTGAGTTGGGACTCTTTTGGTGATAATATATCAACTGAATTAATAGGGGCAATGGAAATAGGGATGTGTAGCAACCCCAGTTTTGATCCATTGACCTTGAGTGGTGATGATGAGTACTTTTCTGCTGAGAGCAGCCTTGATATCGACTTACCAGCTGAGTTCATTGATGGGGATGATGAATTAGCTGCCGGGTTCTACTTCTCTTTGCCTGATCTATGGCTTCCAGAATTTGATTATGAGCTAACTGAGCCCTTGTGTCCTCCCATGTCTGACCATGATTTTCTTCTGTTCTACTCCCTTGACCCTCGTGTATCTGGCCTTGTGTTGATTCCGAAACATTCACCACAAAGACCTCAATTTGAGTATGTCTCCCTCATACAAAGTCAGACCAAGGTTCCAGATATTTCGTTTCTCAACAGCCTAAATCTTCAGATTTTACAATCTTGCAGTGGTTTGCTCCTTTGTCTTTCTCAGTCATCCCAAAAATATTATGTCTGCAATCTGGCAACTCAACACCCAGAGGTACTTCCTAATTTTGTTTCTGCGACCAACCATTTTGCTCTTAACCTAGCTTTTGACCCTTATACTTCACCTTATTATAAGATCATTTGTGTGCAAAAGCTAGAACTGCAAAAGCCACTTCATCAGATATCTATTTATTCCCGTGAAACTCAAACTTGGGCCGTCTCAGGTAAGCCTTTTGTTGCACCTGGTGACATAGATTTTAGTGATGGGGTGTTTTGCAATGGTGCAATTCATTGGATGAGACGTACAACAATAGGTCTGTACTTCAATGTGGAGGAAGAGATTCTGACAAAAATGCCTAAGCCTCCACTGAAGGAAGGGTATCCTTTGGTTAGCTGTGAGTACTTTGGGGAGTCTCAAGGTCATCTTCACTATGTAGTTGCATCACCAGAGTTGTCTTTTCTGGAGCTCTTTGAGATGAAGGAAGATTACAGTGGGTGGTTTCTGAGGAGTTTGATTGATTTAAAGGCTTTGGCGAAGGATTTTCCAATTATGGCTCGTAGGTCTAGCAACCCTCATCCTTTCTTGCCGCGCTATGAGTGTGATGTGTTGTCTGTTGTACAGGGCCATTATGATGAAGATTTAGAAGTTGTGCTCTCAATTCCTGGTGAAGTCATTACTTACAATCACGAGAAGAGATCTGCAAAAAAGCTGTGTGACTTAAAGGTAAGGCCGTATGAACGAGCAGTGTGGTATAGAGTTTATTCTTCCTATCAAGTACTTTGAAGAATTGCAGTCGAACTTCCCTTTGTACCTTAGCCTCAACCATGCTTCATAGTCATATCATACCGAGCACACATTTCAGTCACAGTTGTTGGTTTCTAGCGTCTGACATGCTCAGACGTGAATCTGCAGTGTAGAAAAGAAGGGTGAATTGAAGCACAGACAGAATCAAGAAAAATATGTTTGTTTTTATCACACATATTTTATTGATATGTCTTGATTTACTTTGGATGTGCGATTGTGTCCCTTTAGTTTTGCCTTGGTTTTGTTCGTCTTGAATAATTATCATGTATACTATGAAGTTTAACTTTTGTTTTATGTAATTTTATTGGCATCTGTCTTCAGAAAATATACCCTGTATTCTCAACTAGTCATAGAAAAGGTTTAGTACATTAGAACATTGATGTGCGAAGTCTACGGTTAGATTTCATTCTTGTGGTGACTACCAGCAATCGCTGCGCTTTTACAGTACCTGATAACCTTCTGCTTAGTAGGTATTGTTGTTTTAGAGTTTTTGTATGTACATAGCAAAGTTCACGAGTCTAGTACTCTAGTATTCTTGAGCCACTTTAATCTCAGCTTGGTTAAAGCTTGGTCTGAGTGTGACCTAGAATACAGACTTGAATGAGTAAGGTAGGCTTTAGAAACTCACGAGCAGGCTCAAATAAAATAATGAAATTTAATAGGTTGGCTTTATAACTCGATAAGACATTCAAATTTTTTGAGTTGTATAACTTTATACATTTATTGTGCGCTACAAAAAAAAAAAAAAGTGCGCTACAAAACAAAAGAGTGCTTTGCTATTATCTTCTCCTATTTTTTTGAGACTAAATGAGACAAGTAAAATGAGACAAGTAAAATGAGACTGAGGAAGTGTAATTTGAACTTAATTTCGAACTTTCATTTGAATTTTTTTTTTCCACATTTTATTGTACTTATCTTTAAGCGCTAGTATTTCAGTATTCCCTCTAATTATATTTGGTGAAATGAGATATATAATGAAACTATACGTCATCGTGATGAATTTTATCATAACTTTCTTTTCAAATGCAATGTTTCAAATGGGACAAAAGGACCTCATTTGGCTAGCTCCAAAGATGACAATATTTTAAGGAAAACTTGTATGTTGTATCATGGCATCATTGGTATGTATGCACGTTCAGACTTTAGACTTCCTCTTACAAAATCGTGTTTTTGTCATTAGCACCACTAAACTACTTCGACACCATTACTACAATGAACAAAATTGCACTTTGAGCTGATTTTTCCATCTAAATTTTTTAATCTCATTAATTAATTGGTCTAATCCTTAAAAAATTGTCATGAGATAAGGAACAATTAATTAGTTAATGAGATTGGCCTACTAATTAAATTTTTATCTTTTTGGATGTATCCACTGTGACGCAACTGTAAAGATATGCTTGCATGTTACATTTATATATTTTTATTTTTATTTTTATTAGGTGCAAACCATTATTTTAGTAGATCAAGGAGACACCCTGATAGTCTAGGTTGAGAATAAAATTGAGTTAATATAGAATATATATTTGGGAAATCAATTAATTTAATTTAGTTAGAGTCGAGTCTGAGCTGGTTTGGTTCGAGTTGAGTCTGAATCATAAACTGTAAATATGAAAGAGAACTTTATTAGTCAAAGATTATAGGTAAACAAAAAATATAAATTCAAACAAACTTGATCAAGTTTTCTATACTAGCATAATTATTAATGATTTAACGTTCATGAGAAATGTGTAACTCCAGACTTTGTAGCAGCATCTTTTTTAGGATTCCAGAATATAATATAATAAAAAATTATTGTACCCTAATAATTAAGATTGACCTTATCCCCACGGCTCAATCACATAATTATGCAAGCAAAGCATATTCCTTAAATTTAGCTTAGATTTTGCAGATTCAACCAACTTTACCAATTTTTTATTTTATTTTATTTATTTATTTATTTTTTCCGGTAAGATACAAGATACCCCTCCTATCACAGGAAGGGTATTGGGGTAAGAATTAAACCCCGGTCACGCCGGGGGGAGATGGAAGGATTAACCATCCCTCCACTCCTTGATCCACAACTAACTTTACCACTTAGTTTTCCAAACTTTGCACAATAATTAATGAGATAATCATCCCCAATTATTATACACATTAACATTAAGAATATAATAATATATCTTTATCTATATAAACATAGTTTAGGCTAATACAATATCAGGGGATGTCACTTACCCTGCGAATTCATTGGCAATGCCTAAAATATATCCCAACTTCTAAATCATTTTGTTATATCAGGTACTTATATATCCCCTTCTATCTGTTCTTTTCTATCCTCTTAATTATTTGTTCAATATCAAACACAGAAATATGTTTAGTGTGTACTATCTGTCAACTTTAGTTCCTATCTTGTTCAGATTCTATTATATAGCAGTGGGTTGTTACTATGTCGCGGTAAGCTCTAGTTATAACTATGCAATCGTAATCCATGGCAATTGATGAGCACGCGACCTGGTCTTTTGCAATTAGAATTTGGACTTGATCATACAGGAATTGGTGTACAAGGATGCAATTAGAAGAAATATTTATTCGTTCTTATAGATTTATCTAGTACACCACAAAAATTCTATGTACATTATTAAGGGTTCGAATTCTTTAGGAGATTATACATTTGTATTCTAAAAAATGTACTTGCCTAAATTATGGCTGTATGTAGGGGAGAAGGGGAAATTGTAGGGTGATCAAGTAGCATCCTCCTCATATCGATTAAGCCGTGCTCTCAACTCGATCATCTCTTTGGATCATCCTTCTATGTATTATAATGTCTGATTTATGAAGTACAAGCCTGTTGCTATTTACTTCAGAAATGTTGCATGAGATGTGAGATTTTGCTTTGTTTTCGCATTGAATTGAAAGAAAAGGTGAACAGAGGTAGAACAGTCTCCACATAAATGACATCACAAATTCCAAATTTGTTGAGCTTTTGCATAATATTTATGATTGAGTGTGTTTGCTCATGCTTCCACCAACCTCGGATCTTTTACGTTTTACGCGATTTACTCGTAAGGAGCCCCCCTTTGTTTCCACTAATCACATATACTTCCCAACAAAATACGAAGTTGTAAAATATAGGAGTACCATGAATTAGTAACAGAGAATTGAAAGTTTTAGTACGTACATTTGAACATTGACAATTTCATATCTGCAACCTTTGCCAGCAGTCTATCCTTAGCTTTCATTATTTTGCTGACTACCAGCAATATCGTTGCACTTTTTTGTACATAACTAGCAGAGCTGATGAGTCTACTTGTCTAGCGTGTTCATGTGCCACATTAACCTTAGCTCGGATCCAATCCATAGCAAAGCCGAATTAGTTTGTATTCGATCCAAAATCTGAATTAAAATAAACATTTTTTATTGGTCAAATGACCTCATTTTTATAATAATAAAATTAGAAAATATAAAATATTAAAAATTACTCCGTCCACAGTTATAAAATACGAGTATATATATAATACAAGTAGTTGTTTAATACTCCGTAATAATTTTAAAAATTTAGAAAAATCATGGCTTGTTTAGCTTATTTGTACCAAAAAAAAATTTCCATTATCTTTTAAAATTCATCTTTAGTTAATCAAACACCATTAATTTTTTTAATCATCTTTCGAATAACTGTAAGTGAAGGGAGTAATAATTTTGAATAGACTCATAAAAACTTTGAAAAATGAGATGAGTGTTAAGCATAAGAAGATATAAACCTAACAAAAAAAAAAAATGATTGTACAATTATACTCCGTACTTCACAATTCAGATGACATTAATATTTCAAAAATTAAAATTTAGATGACATTAATATTCCAAAAATTAAAAGGATTTAAAGATAAAAATGATAACACAATAGGAAAATAATCATATTACTTTTCTTCCTAGAAAAAATTCATACTACTTTCGAATAAGTTTTAACTAAATTTATCAACCCTACAAACATCAAACATTTTTTTTTTTAAAAAAAAAAAAAAAAAAAAAAAAAAATTCTTTACAAGTATAATTTTGTATCTAGATATTATTTTGTAAACCGATATTTTCCTTATTTTTTTTTGGAATGAATTGTGCTCAACACAAGTCTCGAATCAAAACCCATCAAAACACAACATTTCAACATCCACAATCCTTCCCCTCACCCTAAAACACAGCGTGTTTAGAGAGAAGAAACTCTAACAGAATGTCTAACCAACTAACTTGGTGTAAAAACCTTACCACCAACTTAGTCCAAGTCAGCAATAATCTTAAAATATCCTAATAATATCTTAACAAGAATAATGGTAAGTTTCATCCAGAAAAAAATAAATATACATACTAGTGTATGTAAGATTTTATTAACGAGTATTTTAATTTGCTCACAAAATGCATATGAATCAATGTATTTATATTTTAACAAAATAAAATAGATTCGACTGTATTGTACACAGCTATAAGGTAAAGAAACCCCACCTTCACCTCATGCTAACTTGGTAAGGTTCCAACCCCAAATCTGACGTTGAAAAATATCAGCAAAAAGGTTTGTTTAATCAATATCAAATCACTCATCAGTCGCTCTATTTGAATAATTCATCACCACTTACCATAGCGAAAAGAATTTAATTCTCTTACAACAACTCCTCTTACAATATGGTTGCTCCGTATTTGGAGTACGAAAAATATACTTATGTCAAAACACAGGCTCTATAATTTTGGGGTAAATTCAAGTTTCTCTCTGAGATAAATCTGTGAATATATCTCCTCTCACAATCTAATCATTTTATTTTATTTTTTAAATGATAAAAGTAAAATAATAAAGAGGCACAGAAATCCATGCATAAAGTTGTGAGAGGAGATAAACTAAAATTGTTAATCCCTCAGATTAACTGGGCCTCCCTCATAATTTTGAGGGTTACATAGTAACGATTTATGGATTATGTTCGAGAAAAAAACACAATGTTCATCAATTTTTGAATTCTATATGCCAATATAGAATAAACAACCACCTGAATCACCTGAGTTGATTAGCGATTTTAATATGTTGCTTCGAAAGATTATAGGCGCATTTTATTTTCCTAATTTTCCTTATTTGAACTTAAATAAAACGATTTGGCCTTGAAAGTTTGCTTTGATTACTTTGAGATAAAGTATAATTGTATATACATAGTACATACGGTGTATTATTTACAATGCTCAGATGCTCTATACAAATGAGGGGGCAGTGTCTATTTTTGTCTATTTATAGAAGTTTTTGCCAAGTGCCTGGAAACTTTGATAACCTAGAATGTTCTAATCTCCTTATTAGGGGAGTTCTACTGTTCTAGACACTAGCCTCCTATAAGCTTCTATGTATATATTTGAATTTTTTACGAGTAATTTTTTTAATTTTTATGTTTTACGATAAGAAGGATCCCAACCTTCATGATTATTTTAGTTCAGTATTTATGGATTAGACACAAGTTTCTTACCAACCGAGCCAACACTTTATTGGTTTTCATGTACAGATGTGATATTGGGGCTTACCCCTCGGCTTCATTAAAGAAAAAAAAAATGTAAGACTCTTATATGTATATAGAACTACTAGAAGTGATGTACTTGTATTCCGTATTTGAAGTTAATACTTCAAAATTTAGAGTGAGTTGATATGTTACGGAGAGGATATGGACAAGTACACCCTAAAATTCATCCCCGTCTCACAACCTACAGCGGGTACTCGTACTAATTTTATATAATCTCCATCTACAAGGCCACACCCCATCGTTCACCAAACCTTCACCATTCTCGTCTAAACGGGGCACCCCACTGATGTCTTTAGACCTATCCTCACACAATATGACGTCCTTTGAAAAGTCCTAACTACATGGAAAAATTGGTGATAAGGCTTATTTCTGATGGAAAAACTAATGTAAACCATTGACTTCCTCCAAAAAGTCCTATATATAGATTAACTGAGGTGGTCTTCCCCTTCTCCACTGAACTCAGTCAACCATTATTTTGGAATTGAAGTAGACAGAGGAGGACTTTGTAATAATTTATACTCCTAAAATAGTCTTCTTATACTGATGACTTCATCATATCATAAAACAACAGTAAGTTATCTTCATAAATAATACAATTTGTTTATTTAAACGAATTCTATTGGAGATGAAAACAACATGAATCAGCTCATTCAACCAATTTGATAAGAATGAATTATTCACATTGTGGACATAGTCTTTTGCCTTGATAAAGAAGGATTCAGTGATTTTATAAAAGGCAGGGGTGCAGATTTTCTTTTTCGAGTTCTGAAATGTCTCAAATAGTGAATGCCAATTCAACTACACTATCAAACACCACAAACTCAGCTGAAACTATTGCAAACCATGAATATTTAGTAGGTGAATTTTCACTCCACTTGAATGTGAAACCACTTATCAGCTTTAGAAAGGTATCATCTCTATGGCGCTTATTGTTCTCGAGTAAATGTTTTGTATCAAGGTACAATCGTCTTCATCCGCCCTCACTTTCTGGCCTCTTATTAGTCCCAAAATATCGAACTAAGAAGGAAAATGATCAAATCGAGTACATCTGCCTTGGTGATCAAAATGAATCAGTTACCCCGGTTTTTCCCTTTAAAGACATGACTAATGTCACACTACTACAGTCTAGTAATGGATTGTTGCTATATTGCAAAGGGGAAAAATACTATGTTTTCAATCCTTCAATCCAAGAAAAGATACTCCTTCCTAGTTGCCTTGGTGATTTTTCTCCTACAAGCCCTTTGTATTGCAGCCTCGCGTTTGATCCTTTGATTTCACAACACTACAAGATCATTGGCCTTACAAAAACAAGAAATAATTCTATGTACAAGATCTTTATCTATTCATCGGAATCAAACCTTTGGACACCCTCCAAAGCGCCGGAATTTTCTGCTCCTCGTGATATAGACTTCACGAGTGGTATATACTGCAATGGCTCGGTCCATTGGACTAAAAGGACGAAGAGGGGCTTATACTTCGACATAGAGAAGGAGACGATAAATGACATGCCAGAGAATCCTAGACAAGAGCAATATAGTTGTGAGTACTTTGGCCACTCTAAAGGGTACTTGTGTTGTTTGTTTACCATGGAAAGTTTGCCCTACTACGAGCTTTTCGAAATGAAGAAAGATTATTCAGCATGGGATTTTAAATGTAAGATTGAGCTCGATGTATTAGCCTCGCAGTTTCCAAAAATGTCCATGAAGACTAACTCGCGAAACCCTCATTTTCTGTATCAATGTCACGTACTATCAGTTTTCCGCGGTCATAATGGGGAATTTGAGGAGATTATTATGTCCATTCCTGGTGAAGTTATAGCCTATAACTGTAAGGAAAAGACTTCCAGGCAAATATACAAATCAAGAAAAAGTGAAAAAGAGAAGAAAATATGGTATGGTATTTATCAAGTTTATGACTTTGTTGAGAGCATTTCTCCTGTTTCTTTTTTAACAACTTAATTTTAATTGTATTAGTTGTATATATGTAGTTTAAACACTTGACTACTTCAATTGTATAACTGTATATACTGATTTATGTTATTTGTCTGATATGTTCTGACAAATTGAAATTTTTTTGTATATATATATGTGAAATAATGTTACTGTACAGAGTTCATAGTGAATTTCCTCTTCCTTGCTCTAAATCAAATCTTCATTTTTTTTTTGCTTTATTGCTATTTCCTAACTTAAACCCCTCCCTATTAATCTTCCTGTTAAAAATTTGACACGAATTTTAAGAAAGCTAACAAGAGTTGGGCCGAAAAATTGTCAAATTTCAAAATAGTATACACGAAGATAATTATGGCACGGAGATGGTAACCTCTTTATTTACAAACTGTGATAATGTTAATAAAAGACAGGTCTACTTTAAATACAAAGTCTATACATTTCAAACAACAAAGCCTTCACACAATCACACTACTTATTTACAAAGTCTACATGGATTCATGGAGTATGCCTTCGATCACCCTATTCCAATCACTTGAATTGGTCCTCATTCTTAAAGAGGAGAAATGGTTTCATAATATTCGTAGGCAGAGTAAACTCTATACCATACGCGCCTCTCTTCAGCACGAACCTTCAAGTCACAAACTTTCCACGAAGTTTTCATCTTGTGATTGTAGGCAATAACCTCACCGGGGATTGAGAGCAAAACCTTATAATGACTATTTTTATTTTGTCCTCTAAAAACTGATAACACATCACACTCATAGCTCGAGTCCATATAGCCACCAAGAGACCTACGAGCCATGCTTGGAAATTTGCGCGCCAATGCACCAAGATCGATCCTAAATTTGAACAACCATCTTGAGTAATCTTTGTTCATCTCAAATATTTCAAAATGTCTTAGGCTAGGGGATGTAACAACATATTGTAAAAAGCCTTGTGAATGGCCAAAGTACTCGTATATATACTGATGATGAAGATCATGCTCTTTCGTTGGTAACTCAGGCAATGATTTGAGGCATTTAGTATCGACATTAAAATACAATCCCTTAGATTTAGAACCTTTAATCCAATGAATATTACCATTGCAATAAACCGTGTGACCAAAATCTATTCCCTCAGGCGCGACAAAGAGTTCATTGTGAGGCATCCATATACCAGTTATTGATTCATAAATTGAGATTTGGCATAGGCCTTGATGTTCATCAAGTATTTGAACACAAATAACGTTGTAAGCATGCGATCTTAAAGGATCATAAGCTAATGAGAGCTCGAAATGATATACCTTCATGAAGGTATTTCTAGGGAGATCAACATATTGTTGCGTTGTAGGATTGCACACATGATATGTTGTTATGTGTTGTTTGCCAACATAATTTCTTGAGCAAAGCAAAAGCCCATTGCAAGATTGTAAGATCTTGAAACCTTGGATGGTAAGAAAACTTATCGACGGTGCATTTGGGTGGTGATCATGATCATATTGACTTAGAGAAAGATATTCGATTTCAGGGCAGTAACTGATAATTTTAGGAACCAAGAAAAGGTCAGAGAAAGAAGGGGGGTGAAGGAGGGAATAACGACGTTCGAAATATGGATTTGAGATCATAGAAAGAAATTTCTTGGATATACATTTGGACTTCACTAGAGATTTTGGAGATAAACTGAGTAATATTTCATCTGCTAAGTCTTGGTTACCAATAATGGCTTCAATTAGTGTTGAATCAGCTGATGTAGTAGATATTGATGCTGCTTTCTTCATTAGTAGTATTTTAATTTTGAATTATTGAATTTAGTCTTAATACAATTTTGTTTATATAATGTGATACTATATCAAAGTATGCTTCTGGTTGATGATTCAAATAAAATTGATGTGAAGAATAAAAGTATATACATTTATAATTTATTTAAAAGATTACTTGTGCTTCAAGCTCGTTGATTAAGACTATGTCCTTGGTAACTTCACATAAAAGATTGCGTGCAGGCAATGAAAAGTCTCTTGCTAATACTACTTTACAAAAGACTATTCAAAATCATGTAACCATGGTTGAAGCTAGAGGTGATATAAATTTGAGTTGCGTCAGGTCTTAACATCAAATATCATGCTCAAACCCGCAGTGGGCTTGTCGGGCCAGAGCGGGCTTTTTCCAGGCCGATTCGGGTTTTTAACTAAAAATGGTGTTCTTTGACTTGCTCCAACCTGCCATTTTATCAGGCCGAAACATAGTTGATCACCTCTAATTAAAGCCCAAATGCCCAATATTGGTGTATATACATTATCACACTCTCGCATATGAGATTCCCGTGGTAGATGAGATTTGAATTCGCGAGCTTCTTATCAAATTAATTAACTCCTGATACCTTGTTAAAAACTTAAAATATTAAATGACTAAATTTGACAAAAGGTTAAGGTGATGGTTGAAACTCATAATTGTTTTATATATTCTACTAAATTTTGTCAAGTACATTTCTTGAGCAATTACTATAAGAAGTCAAAGTTGACATTCTTCTTTTCTTTTTGGACGAAGTTACAATTTTTGCAAAACTAAGCTGAATATTTTAAAAGTGTTTAAAAATAATAAAAATAAATTATCCAATGTTAGTATTTGTACACGTTTTTTAATCGAAACTTTGAAGAAATTACTACGCTTTGTTTCTTTTAGTTGGCGAGTTCTTTTTAATGCGTTTGTCAATGCATTTTCACACATGTGAAAATAAAGATGTACATGTTTTAAAACTTGTATTAGAGAACCTAAAAAGTCTAATAAAACAAAAAAATATAGAGACGAAGGGAGTACTATATATGCGATTGGTTGATAAAAGCTGCCATATTTGTGGTGGTTGGTAATTTCCATGCTGGATTATATAGACTTGGGCTTGCGATAGTCCACACTCTCTCTAGTCACAACCCCAAAAAAGCATCGAGCATACACCAGAACAAAAGGAGCGCAGACGATAATCGTAGCAGCTTTGACGATTAGTATCCCACCATTCTACTCGCAAACTTTTTCCTGACTAAATCCCCAATTTCTCCTTTCCTCAAATCATCTATTCTTCTACCAATTCACAGATCTAGGGTTCCGGTCTCAAAACCCTAATTCAACTAAATCAAAATTCAATTGCAGAACACCCCTCTTCACTCAAAGTTCAGACCGTTGATTTCATCGATTTGCACCGCGCGAACTCAGACGAGATTCGCGAGGTAGGCTGAGCGTGATTTTTTTTATTTTTTTGCATGTGTTTTTGATTCTTTAGCCTTACTGTGGAATTCCTCAAATCGTTTGAATTGATTTTTTTTTTTGGTTCAGGGTTTGAGGTGAATTTGATATTTTTGAATTGTTAATTGATTTCATCTAACAAGCATACAGTCATGGAGGACGACTGGGGTAAGATTTTGATTATTATTCATAAGTTTGATTGTTATTATTATTTAGGGTAATTATTATTATTCAGAATTGGTATGTAGTGCTACATATTCCGTCACCCTGTTGGGAGAAAAGGATTTATTCTGAGTATTCTAAAGTGGCTTACTAGAATAGGGCAATAGTATTCATAAGCGTGATATTGATATTATCTGATCTTTAGGCATAGAAGTTAATCCTAAAACTTAATAGCTCACTATATGTGTGAAAGTAATCGAAAGCTTGTGTCTTTTAAGTTTAAGAAATTGGTCATTTTTCGATTCTGAATTATAGATGCAAACTTGTTTGAAGACAACATGAGAAATACGTATATAGTTGCGGTCTTGCATCAAGTATATATTTCATAAAGTGAATTTTTAATGGGAAGCCTGCTGGCACAATTGTTGGCAAGTAACATTTTCTCTTTATCCTTATTTTGGTGAGGCAGTAATCGTTCTCATGTAGACTTTCTGTTCGACAGAATCCTTTTGCATTGATTTTTTTTTTTTTTTTTTTTTTTAAGAAAATAGGATTGTCAAAATTTGGATACTATACAAAGAGATCACATGATTCACATGACTTTTGCTGTTGTTGGTCATGGTTTTTTTTTGGGATTCCTGACCTGTAATAAATCTTTGCTATTGATTTAGAGAATGAGGACTTCACACCACAAGTTGCTAAAAAGGATATTCTGAAAAGTAGTTGGGATGATGAAGATGTTGATGTTGATGATGTGAAGGAATCCTGGGAGGAGGAAGAACAGGTATGTTTACAATGGAGTTATTTTGTGCCAATGTTGAACCGTGTCTTCAACAATATATATTTTTTCTTATGATCTTTACTTGTAGATTTGTTAGTTATGGCCCTTATGGGTATTGGTATCTGACCTTTGAACCTCATGTCTCTTTCAACTGTGATTTACTAGTTCATATTATTATCTGATAGAATTTGACAATGACAAGTAGATTGTTTTTAAGCAATAAATCTCACATGTCAATGTCTAATGTATGTTTTGAATCATTACATTTGATTAGCATCCTTAAGTTCTACTCATGCTTTTCTTTCTGCGCTCTTTTGTGTTGTTTCTCAGGCACCTCCACCAGTTAAAGTACCTGAAAAGCCTGCCAAGAAAGCTGCTTCTAAGGAAACTGGGAAAAAAGGAAAAGATGTGGAAGAAGCTAAAGAAACAGCATTGGATCCTGTCACAGAGAAATTGCGTCAACAAAGGTTAGTTTCAGGATCATACCATCATAATAGTTAATCAGAACTCATTTTTTATAACAACTTTTACTGTGCTTGTAGGTTTGTTTTGTTCACTTGTTGCTTGCAGAACTATATCATTGTAGACACACTTAATAACCTTCTAATAAGAAAACCTTAGATTAAGGAAGTACTGGGGCTAGCATCGATTCCTTATTCATTAGTATGTTTATATCAATTAGCTTAAATTTCTCTGCTTGGTTGACCACTTTGACTTGATGGTTGGCACTTTGTTTATTCTTTATTCTAATGGATCATCCGTTCTTGTATGCAAAAGAGATTATTTTTTGTTTAGAAAGACATAAGAGTTCCAATGTGTTGTTTCATGCATTCTATTACTCAGTGCTATCTATA